AAGATTACAATAATGCATTCTTTGCACAGTGTCACATGCCCTGCAGTATCTCTCTCTGAAGCATAAGATGAACTCCCATAATTGTAAAACAGAGAGGTGGGAGTGCAATATCAATTCCACAATGGTGTATCTTTCCCCAGTTAATAACTTTTGAATCAGCGGATTTTGTTAAATTACTCATCATTCATATTTAGAGTTCTTTATCATTTGAAATACCAACATGGCATCACAAAAATTTGTGAGATTACAACCATTCAAATTATGACTCTGAATATATAAAGAAATTGTTCTTTCTATTCAGGTTAGTTTTTAGTGCAATGGAAGGGAATAATATGGAAGTATTGTATTAACACTTATATTTGTTGATAAATACTAATGAAATGCCCTGGCTACACAGAAGTTTAGCATGATAATATATTTTAATTATATTTAAGAATTTTGTAAGGAATATGTACTGAATATGTGTGAATGGCAAAGTGTAAACCTTTGAGACTGTGTAATATGAACTGACAAATTTTTGCAAAGAGGGAGATATTTCACACTTATATATTTTTTATGTTTTTCTGAACTCTGTACAAATATAAATATTTGAGGGGAAAACAAAAGTCATGATTTCTTCCCATAACTTCTTGTTATCATCTGGTGAAACCATCAGAATTCTGAAATTATCAGAAACAAGGTATTAGGACATCAAAAACCTATTTTGTAATACATTGCTTGATCCCAAAAATCAAGAGCATGTAAAGAAAGAAAAAATTTTCCTGAGCCTATATAGTTTCCTAAATATTATGCTGATCTCAGTGAAGCTTTTAAATCACTGGAAGTCTGGACAGTCAAGGAAAGTAATGTTGATAACAGACAAATGTTGTAGATATTTCATACCTTGCAGTCGTGAGTCTTTCTGCGTGAGTAATGGACAAAATAAAGTAGAAAGAGGAAGCAGATAATAAATCTTATATATAGACCAACCTAGTTAATTTTGCAATTTGACACCATTAATTCATTTTTGCCTATCTGATGACTTACATCAATACGCTTAATCTGTAACACATCACTTTGTATGGCTGAAGAGATTTTTCTGGTTCATATGGCTAGAATAATTACTACCTCACTCACTCATGGAGCTGATCCTTCCTTGAGAAGTTGTTAATTGTGCAGCTACTCAAGAGTTTCCCAGCAATTTATGGAACCTGAAGGTTCATTACCATGTTTACAAGAGCCCTCTACTTGTCTCTGTCCTCAGCCAGAGGACAGTCCATAACATTCCATTCTCTCTATCTAGGATCCATTTTAACACTGTTCACCCACCTATGTCTTGGTATTGCTAGTGTTCTCTTAACTTCTGGCTTTCCCACCAAGATCTTATTTCTTCTTTGCCCCCGTTCATGCTACATACCCTGCCCAATTTCTGAAGCTCCTCATTATGTACTTTTTTCCAACCTCCCATCACTTCATCTGTCTTCAATGCATATATTCCCCTCAACACCCTGTTCTCAAACACCCTCAGTCTCTGTTCCTCCCTTAATGTCAGAACAAGTTTCACACCCCTACAGAACCACAGGCAAAATCATACTTTTGCATATTTTAATTTTTATATTTTCAAAAAGCAGATGAGAGGAAGAAAGGTTCTGGATTGAATGCTAGCAAGCACTACCTGAATTCAGTCTCCTCCTAATTTCTTCCTGAATCAGGTTTTCTGTTATAGTCGTTCCCAAATATGTGAACTGTGCCACATTTACAAAACATGTGTTAGCTATCTTTATGTTATGATTTTGCCCTGCATTCTGGTGACGAGACAGCAATATATACTTAGTTTCCTCTGTGTTTACTTTCAGACCGAACTCCTTCCATCAATTAAAATTTCCATGCTTCTCTTTATGGTATCTACATTATCACCCATTAGATTCACATCATCAGCATAGACCAGCAGCTGATGTGTTCCGTTTAATGTCAGCCCCAACTGGTTTTCCTGGACCTTCCTAATGGCATACTCTAAAGCAAAGTTGAAAAGCAGTGATGATAAACATCTCCTTGTTTTAGATCATTCTGGATAGGAAAATTATGAGACAGATGTTTACCTACATGGGCCTTACTATACGTTTCATTTAAACACATTGTAATCAGCCTAGTGGTTTCATGGGTACCCCAAAATATATGAGAACGTTTTACAGGACTTCCCTCCTAACTGAATCATAGGCTTTTTTGAAGTCTACAAATAGTTGATTTGGATTTAACCTTAAGAATGGGATATAGATACAGTTTTGTATGAAGTTGATAGCAGCGATATCCCACAATAATTATTACAGTCTTTTTTAACACTTTTCTTGTGAACTGGTACAATAATAGACCCTTTCACTGATCAGGTAAGTCTTCTTTATTCCAAATAGAATTAATTAGTGTATGCACCTTAGAACATAATATTTCACCTTCTGCTTGAATCAGTTCTGCTGGAATTTGATCACTACCTGGCAATTTATAACTTTTCAACTTTGCAATAGCAATGTCAGCCTCAGTAGGGCTAGGATAAGGTACTAACAGCACAGCTGCATGTATTTCTATTTCCTTAACATCACTGACCCTATGTATATGCAGTAACTGAGTGAAGTAGTTCTTCCACCTGTTCAAAATGTTGTGGGAATTTGCAAGCAGACGACCTTTCTCAGTCTTCACTAAGTTGCTTCTAGGTTGGTACACCCTCCTATTCCTCTATACAGGTCTCTGATGTTCTTGTTCTTACTGTTCGTTGCAAGCTCATCAATTTCGTCTTATAGATATTCACTCTTTTTATTCCTGAAATACCTTCTGGTGTCCCATCTTATATTGGTCAGATTATCCCCATTTATTTCGTTTGAATCCTGTAACCACTGTAATTTGGTTTGTTTCCTTTGGTCTAATAATTTTGAGCATCCTTCATTGTTACTATGGCTTATGCTTCTTAAAGTCATAATAACCTAGATCCTCTTTGGCTGAAATTTTGATAATTATTACTACCAAATTAACTATTTTGTAAGCTAACCTTAGGGCACTAAAAAATTCAATAATCATATTAGGTATGAAAGAAGCACAAATTAAGAACTTAATGTCACCTGCAAATAATGATGGAGCTTAAATAAGCTTGATGACATCACTGATTCTATTAGTTTCCATCATGTCTTTATGTAGTAATCACAATCTTGTTCTATAGGTTTTTTTTTTTTAATTTACACTCCATTTTTGGAAAAAAATATATTAATCTAAAGAAAATTAAGCTAGAAGATGCATTTTTAAAAGACACTACATTAATTAGCTACTAGCTTAATTTATATATAATCTTGTTGTGAATATCATCTTCATTTTTCTGTAAACTTTAATCATAAGTAGGACTATGTTACTATGTATATTAAACATTTGTTCTAAGAATTGTAATTACATACTACAGCCCGTTGTCTTTCCATTCATTGTATTTTAGTATTAAGAATTTTAGAGATATTTTACCTAATTAACTGCTACTAGTTGTTGCACGGTGTACTCAGAGTCAAAGTGTTGTTTCATACTAAAGATCCAGTCTCAATATTTTATTATTAATAAAAGTACATTCTTTGCGGCAGGCAGCTGAATGTATTTGACAAACAGCTTGCTGAGCATATGATTGTTTCATATAATAAGAAAACATGCAAGCAGACATGCAGCTATTCTGAAGCCTGTTACTCTTGTTTACTCTGAGCTCATCATGATTAGAGTTCATAAAACACTACACTTTTAAAACTAAGCCCATGAAGGTACATAATACTGCCTCACAAAACATCAAAAGTTGAACATATACTCATAAATCCAATGATAGACAGAAATCAAGTTCCCATTTCTTATTTAATATCTTGTTTCACACCAGAGACTGAATGTGATATAAATATAAAGCTGCAGGGGTTACACTTTTGTATAGAAACTCGTTGTAAAATACCAGGAAATTTGGAAAAAAGAAATCATAAATAACTGTAGGCTTGGTCATGAAAGCTCATGGTCATGGGTAAAATTCCTACCACAGGAATGGATGAGTGTTTTTCAACATTGCAAGTATCAAATTGTGAGATTTTGAGGTTCTCATGGAGGTGGGTATCAAAATTGCGGTAGTACGGGATATGAAATCATTTATTTTGGTTGATGGAGACCAACATTTCGTGAAGATGGAGGTAGCAAGTTCCTCTGAAGCATTGGTACACAGTATCACATCCCAGACCACTCTCTCCCCAGGTTGGACATTCAGCTAGGCAGCAAGAATATTTTCTGCTTAAGAAGGAGTCTGAGCATGAAGTAAGTCCAGGACATCAAAAAGAGACAGGATTGGCATGTCCCCTTAACTTTTCGCCCTGCTACAAATTATAAAATTACTGTTTTTTTTTTTATATAATTTTGCAACTTCGGTTTTATTAAAATTTTCAAAGCTCGTGTGTTTCAGAATTCCAACTAAACCAAATTATTAGAACTTTAATGAATATTTGAAGGGTACTGAATATTTTCATTTTTAAATTTACAGGCGTTGCACGGAGTGCATGATAATAAGATCTTTATCCTGAAGATCATCAGTCTACATGCTCACATGTTTCACCTCTGAAAGACGGGATTTAAATTACATTTAATCATCAGGATCCATAGGAAACACTGTTGGGTGAATTTACAAAAAGCTCCCTGTACCTGCAGTAAATGTAGGTCTATTGTGTGTTGAAAATTACAAGAAAGAATTTGAAAAAAAAAATGTATCTTTCAGATAGTGTGCGCTTCTGCACTCCTGCCGTTGGCAGTGTTTAAGATAAATTGGATTTTTTTCAATTGACCTAATCCTTCAGGCCGCATTATGGCCCTGGGGTTCACTCAGCCTCCAACAGAAATGAGTACCAGGAATTAAATAAATAATTTTCCTGGGGAGTAAAGCGCGGCCGGCGTGTAAGGCTGACAACCTTACCGCCATCTTTGAGCCGATTGTCTAGACAATGTGGGACCCTCAAAGTCTCACAACCCTATGGGCCTTCACGGCCTGTTACAGGGATACCTTTACTTTTACTTACTTTTATATACAGCTTTGGATTTGGGTGCCTTTTTCACAATATTCATTAAAGGGTAATTTGCTTTCCATAATCTCAGTAATAGTTTTCGCATTGCAGGGACATCATGAAGCTTATCATTAACAATATAATAGAAAAAATTCGTCAATGAAATTTCACAATGGCTTTTGTACTTTTCCATTATAACAAAAATTGTTACAGCATTTTAATCCTATATGTTATCACAGTTTGTGTAGTTACATATTGATTGTTCAGCCAACTATGTGCTAACTATAATAAATAGAAATTGAAAGCTGTATTCCTTAAATTCTTATTATTTTAAATAATTATTGAACTGAGCTGCGATCTCTATGTGATATGCAGTTCACGCGTAGCGTGATTCTAAAACAGCACCAAATGTTGTCACGATTGTCACCTATCATCTATGGGAAACATTAGCAGTACGAAGCTCTAACAAATTTTTTAAGTTCATGTACATCATTGTCTTAAAGTTTTACACAGTTAACTGGGCATGCAGTAATGCTCTTTGTAACATGACACTAGCATAGACTGTAAACCGTTGCTTGGAAACAAGCAATACTTAAAAATAATAAAATATACCTGAAAGCATGTGACGGAACCTATCTTGAGCCAGCTGAATTCAGTCAACATCCTGAATCCTATTTTTTTATATAGATTTAATATTATTCTCCCATCCACACCTAGGTCTCCCAATATCTTTCTTTTATTTTCTTCGACCAAATGATTGTAAATTTCTTGTCACCTCAAATATGCTACTTTTCCCGCCAATTTCACGTTCCTTGATTTATAAGTCCTGATAATAGGCTCTTTGGTGAATATAAATTATAAAGTCTCGTAAAATATTAAAGGAAGCAAAATACGTATGTATTTTTTTCTTACATTGGTTTTAAATGAACAATAACAAATGAAACAAGCAAATAATTAAAAAAGAAAGAAAGGGAACGAGAAATAAAAAAAAAATCAGTCGGGCGATAGTGCACTATGGACGGAGCGCTTTCGTTGCAACGAATATTTATTATTCATATAAAAAGCGTGATTATTTTCTAAATGTCGTAATGTGAAAATTCGTCAATTAAACGTTCGTAGAACGAAGAATTAGTGCAATCGAATCTTATTTTTATACGCTAGGGAAGCTGTGCTGCTTGATATAAACAGAACATTCTTAGTAGTACATTCATCTCTTTCGTTGCCTCTTTGTGACTCTGAACACAATCAACCAAACCTTGGGTCCAGAAACACTTTCATGATTGTGTGGTATGATATGGCCAACAATCATGAGACGGAAACCGTTATGCCTAAAACAATTTCTTGTATTCCGAAACGTCAGAAATGTTAAACCCACTCTTCAGACTTTACAGTCAGAGACAAACAGATGATCATATACTGCACTTAAAGCAGCTAAAACTATGTCAGGCCTCATTTGTTAACTAACAATAGGGCTCATAAATACCAGCATTAGGTATATATTCTGGTATATTTTCGCCATTTCTATGCTGTCTTCATATATAGGACTCCTTTGCCATTTTGCACTAAATGTTGTCTGTGCAGAATAGAGATTCGATACAGCCACTGCCATTTCTATGTTGTCTTCATATATAGGACTCCTTTGCCATTTTGCACTAAATGTTGTCTGTGCAGAATAGAGATTCGATACAGCCACTGCCATTTCTATGTTGTCTTCATATATAGGACTCCTTTGCCATTTTGCACTAAATGTTGTCTGTGCAGAATAGAGATTCGATATAGCCATTGCCCGTCTAATCGTGGGTCAGAATGTAGTAAATGAAAACCTTTAATTCTGCCTCATTGCAAGCAGAGGCTTGTCATTGGCACCAATCTCTTCGCAGAGAAAGCTGGTACTGCGTTTCCTAGACGCTGCAGATTCCCATTACAATAAAATGACGTCATGGAACTCGCTATGTGTAGTTTTCTGTGCTACGCGATGTGCTGGATTCGCTTCCTGATTCGCTGGTCATTTCAGCGTCGTAATCAGGTAACGGCGGCAGAACGTTTTGTTGGAAGAGACCAGAAATATTTCCAGGAGGCCGATAATGTGCTACCACAAGCACTTTGCCTGTCCGGCTGCGAGCTTTCCCGACACCGAAGTGTCGCGTAGACGCCCATACCATCTGCGTGAAGTGGCCTGTGGAAATATACAGCAAAGGTTCATGCCAATTATACACACAAGGAACAAAAGTAATGAATTTTTGGATACTGAGGAAGTAACGCAGAAATTATCTTGCAAGCCTGTAAATAATGTGATAAATCCTGAGAAAACTATATATATGAACATGTCACAAATCTGAAGCCAGTAAGAAAGTTATAGTACAACTAAGACGACACTTAATGAGCAAGTTTCCTTTTCTGTGGAAAACATTAACAGAAAAATTGGGTTCATGACGAAATTGCGATAATAACTCCTGAAAATGCTTGCTATGATTTAGTTTGAAATTTCTTATTCGGAAGAGCAGAGCACAAAAAGTTATATTTTTCTTCCATTTTTCCTGTATGGATGTTTGATGTGGTCTCCTATTTTAGAGGAAGAATATAAATCCAAATATTTGAAAACAAAGTACTCAAGATTGTATGTGAAATAAGTGGGCAGTTTTGACAAATACGTAACCAGAAAATTCGTCATTGATACACGGCAGCTAGTATTGTTAGAATAATGAAATATATGAAGCTCCAGTGGGCTGTGAGTGTAGGAAGAGTGAGGATACAAGGTACGCAAACAGAATTGTTGTAGGGAATTTTCTGGATGTCACCAGCTTGAATGGCAGAGATGATAGGAGGATAACATTAAGATAAATCTTAAGGAGACAGGTAGTGAGGGTGGATGATGGATGGAATTGGTTCGTGGTCATGTTGAATGACTGCCACACGGCGAGAAATTTCTTGGCCAGCTGAATGGGTACCATCTTTTCAAGAAAGATTCTGTTCCATGGAAACTGTAATATTTATGTTTATGTTTAATTAATTTATATTTTACAAAAATTCTAGTTTCTCCCCCGTTAATTGTATACTTCTGAACTCAATAAATTCAATCGTCCAAGGAGTCCTACCGTCTGTGTAAAAAGATTACGAAACTGAAGAAGAGGCCAGGGCCCAAGACAGGGCTGTAGAGCCATTGATGAATGAATGAACTTAAAATTATGTGTTTATTTGAAAATATTAAAGCTGTTCTTAAATTACAGCCAAAATAAATGCGCGTAGTAGGATTTCCGTAGTCTAAGGGTAACGTTCCCACCTCATGACTCAAGGTACGCGGGTTCAAACCAGGCCGAGGTCGTGGAATTTTTAAAGGCGGAAAAATTCAGGGAACAAGTCCTCCGGGAGGGACTTTAAGCCGTGGGTCCCGTATCGTAGCTTTACGGCACGTAAAAGAACCTCGTGTCTCAAGGAGACCTCTGAGCCAAATTTGTAAGGACATTTCCCGCCCAACAATAGTCTCTAACGCCTCTGGTAGATGGGGGAAGCATCTAGATACCGCTGAGCCAGTAGAGGCCGAACTCGCTGGCTGAGTCGGGACTGATGGCACGCACCAGTACCGGTAGGGTATAGAGACTGGTAGAATATCACAGGGGGACGTACAATAGATCAAACTGGTCGCGGTGCATGGGGAAACCCACCCCCTCCAATAATAATAATAATAATAATACGTAATAAATACTATCGCTCGTGAACTTACTTGACGGCCAGATATGCAGTTTCCAGAAACTGTTCTAGGTTTCTAACCACGTATTTAAGACAATATTTACGTGACAGCTATCTGCGATGATCATTTCTGTTAAAACCTGCCAAACCACAAAGATGCTCATCCTGAGATTTCTCTAACAACAAAAGTAAAGGAGAGTGTTAGTTTCGAAGACTGTATCTACATGCTAACATTCTAGGGTCTCTTCGCCACGCCCTGTCCCTTTACATGATGATCCCTAGTGTTAACTGTAATGGTGCTTCGCATCACGCCATACTACGCTTGGCGATTTGCATGCTGGCATGCTGTGCGTGTCTCTCACCTGCATTAACATTGGCATGCAACACATCTGGTTCTTTCGCGTAATTATACTGGCGTACTGCGCTGTACCAGTATGACGCAACCTCCTGACCTGTGGACATAAAACAGACTGTTAGTGAGGTAGCCAGAATTCTGTTGGTTAGATGATGTACCCGCACAATCGCAGGTAATTCCACTCAATGTACAAGGTCTCCCATGAGGACCTGATAATTATTCTATCCATCCACGGCTCAACAGCCCTTCTTTGAGCCTTGGCCGCTTTGGAGATCAGCCCGTCGCAAGGCCGCTCCAGCACACAGGACAGCACAAACATTTGAATAGACGCACACAGACATTCATGCATAAAGTGGGGTTCGAACCCACGATTCCAGTGTTTGAGCGGGCGAATACATTTCGTGCTTTAGGCCGCGCGACCACTGTGATCGGCAATAATTATACTACTTATCAAAGAACTATCTGTTTTTATGAACTGGCAGGATTACCACGGCTCATACAGAACTCATCCAGTAACCCAGTTCTTAGAGTCTACAGCCTCATGACATACAGGCCCATAGGGTTGTGAGACATCGAGGCTCTCACATTTTCTAGACCTTCGGCTTACATGTGGCGGTGAGGTTGTCAGCCTTACGCGCCGGCCGCCTTTTACCTCCAGGAAGATTCCTGGTACTCATTTCTGTTATAGGATGAGTCGACCCCAGGGCCATAGTGCGGCTGGAAGGATTAGGTCAATTGCAAAATCCAATGACCTTATCGGGAATCGAACCCGCGACCTTCCGACATGTAGCATAGTGCCTCAACCAACTACGCTACCGCGTTCCCCAAAGAAGAGGGATATGGAACATCAAAATTGCTCTTATAGAAATATAAAATGTAAAAATACGAGTATGAAGTGGATTTAATTAAATCACTACAGAGTATAGTATGAGCTTTCATGGGCACGATGCTGAATCTTTGATTGTCCATCATACCAGAAAATAGAGCCTGACTTTAAAGTAATTTAAGCCTGAGAAACTCACGTCACTGACTACATTTCTCGAACGTCCCGTATTCTGTTTCTTACACTGTTCTTTATCTGTGTAGCTTATGTCTAGCGTCGAGTGGAGGGATGATTATGAAACATATATTGAGAAGTGCATGGGAAGAAGCGGCCATGTCCCTTTCGGCTTGTACTGTGTTAACATTTGTCTCTAGGAAGGAAACATAGGAACCCTCGGTCTCAGAGCCGAAAATCGGATCTGAGATGAAAGAAATGCGACCGAACCGCTACATTCTGTCTTATTTTTTTTTTTTTTTTTTAGACGTGTTACTATTAAGACAAATGTTGTTAGGCTGTTTATTCCAAGGACTGAAGCGAGTGATCAGATACAGCGCCCGATTATAACACACGTATAACACCTACTTACAGACACCTGCTCACGCTGGTTTATCACTCGCGGATTTCTTGTACCCTGAAGATGGAGGCAATACGTTCCTCCGAAACGTCAGTTAACGAAATATCTACACGCCGTCACATCCCAGAAGACGACATTTTTCATAGTCACCGCCGTGAAAACTTCAAATCTTACGATTATAACACTTGTTTGATTTGAGGTTCTTACAGCTGTAACAAAGAAGATTATGGCCTTGGATGTAACGCCGTGTAATTCGGAGCTCCCAGTTGGTTTGTTGCTTACTCTGGCTTACTCTTCGGCACTGAAGACAGACAATATTTTCCTCCGTAAAATCGGACGTTTTTCTATTTACGCAGCTTTACAACCCACAACACCATGCGCTTGAATTTTAACTCTTACGAGTATATTACTTGATTTTGTCTACACAAAAGAATGCTTCAAATTTTCGACTAATTCCTCAAAGGTATACTACATTCCTGTCCAATATCTGAACAATTTCGACGTTGTCTGGTGACTTCTTAAGGTCCTAAAAGAGTGTACAACGTCCAGCTGTCTAAGAATGCCCATAGGTTACGTGAAAACCATCCCTTCCCGTGGAGATCATATGGGCATCACCAGAACCTACATACTGTGTAGGCCTGATAATCTTTGGTTCAAGGGTTTCAGTGTTTCCCCCTCGGGTTCTGTTAACACTTAGTAACATTGAGAGACATTAAGGCCGCGCCATAGCTCAAGCGGTTAGTCGTTGGCTTCCCTACGCGGCGGCCCGGGTCTGGTCAAGTGGGATTTGTGGTGGACAAAGTTGCTCTGAGGCAGGTTTTCTCCTAGTACTTCGGCTTCCCCTGCCAATCTTCATTCCGCCAGTTGCTCCACAATCACCCTCACCTATCATCTGGGGCTGGTACAATAGGCCAGAAGTGGCCGCAGTACAAGGCACTTAGTCCCACCCCACTAGCAATAAAAAAAATAGAGAGACGTTACCTGTGACGTCAGTCTGAATGGAATTCGTAGGCCTGCAGAACAAATTCTGTCCCACATCCCGGTCATTGCGGTAGTAGAATGTGTTGACGTGAGCCAGATGATTGGCCCAAGACTGCGCAAGGGCACACAACTGAAACACACAGTAAAGGATTAATTATATCACGAATAGAGACTTGTACATTCATATTCAGAGCACTTAAAACGTATTATTTTTGCCAGAGCTCGGTCACCTAAATGCAATTCGGTAATTAAATAGATGTTAAATTTCTGTCACATATCTTTGCATGAATGCATCCGGAGCGGGCCACGAAGCCAACTTCATCTGAGGAGAACCGAGGCGATGCGTGTGCAACTATTACATCTGCTCTGGAGGAATGCCACTACATCATTTGGGAGAATTGACTCTTGGCGGTATAACCATTACATCTGAAGTGAAGGAAATGCCACTACCTAACTCAAGAAACCGAGACGTGGCGATGTAAGTTTTATATATGATCTCACTTTCACCAGGAATGGCTCATGGCGATACAACCATAATATTTCGTGCGGAGAAAGGGCAATTATCCTATTCAAGAAACCGAACCACGGCGGTATAATCTGGCGTGGAGGTCTGCTACTATATCATTCAGCAAAACCGACTCGTGGCTCAATAACCATAGAACAGAACAAACTCTGTTGTTTTAGTCCGCAAGCGAACTATACCGACCGAGCGACCGCCGCTTGTCGGCGAAGTTAGTGCCAACTTTAGTGGATAGAGGGTGTCGCGTGGTCAGCGTAAGGAATCCCCATGGCAGTTAATCTCGGTTTCCTAGACGGGAGGCGCTATTTCCTTGAAATAGCTTCTCAATTATTCTCACGAGGCTGAGTGGACCCCGTTCCAGACCCACTTCTCAAAAAAAAATGGTAGCGCCGGGAATCGAACCCGGAACCTCTGACCACTAGAGCACAGAGACGGTCAGGCGCATGTAGTCATGTTAGTGTACGTCGGTCACTTATGGTTTTTTTGGACACTGGCACATGATTGTACACTAATTCAGGCGCAAAATAACTGCTTAGTGCATGTGAACTTGTACCAAGCGGAGTAAAGAGTTGTGAGTGTGCGCATATCAGCTACAGACGGCTGTATCGTGTATATACTACATCAGATTGAGATAGTTAAGTCGTGGCCACGAAAAGGTTAAATATTCGAACAGGGCCGATATTCTTTTGCAGAGGTCTGTCTGTAATAAGGCAAGGTCTCACAAAGCCACGCACGCGGCTGCTCACCTGCGGACAGAGTGTGAGTGGCGGTACGCCATGCCGCTGCCGATACGCGTTGTGCCAGTAGAGGCTCTCGGTGATGAACTCGCTGTGCTGCCAGTCTGTCTCCAGCTCCTTATTTCCTTCTCCAGTAGCGATGCTCATCGGGCGATTGCTGAATATCTGCTCCGTCAAACAAAGAGAAACTCAGTTTCCTCGTTTTATCAAAAATGGGAACGATTTAGCTCTCACATGCACTGTATTCAAGTCGAGGTAAGGTAAACAGTGAAGGTAAAGTTGTCCCTGTTGTAATCAAGTCCTCTACACAATGAAGACGTATTGGGGATAGGAGGCATCGGCAATAGATTGAGGTGTGTGATCAGCTGTACGCCTTGGTCGCTTTACTTCCGGAGAAAGAACCCCCGGCATCCCCTGGATATGCCCCAGAGCCGATCTGGACCCTGTGAAATAGAGAAAAATCTGTTGCTTCTGCCGGAAATCGAACCCCGGCCGTTCATCCTGTAGCTTTTCTTTATACCGACTGAGCTATGCCCTATAATACATTGGCGTGAAACGGTGGTTGGTTTGTAGGTGATAACGATAACGAAATAACATTGTATCATCTACAGAAGTTATTCAATATTCATATACAGTACAAGACATTGTGTCACCTCTAAATGGCTGCTGGAACAGGAGCAGAACTGTCCGTTGGAACTAAGGAACAAGAAGCGAATTTCTGCTCGTCAGCATCACCGTTCGGCACACGTGATCAAATAGGGAACGAGAAAATACGGTCTCAGAAAAATTAGTTCCTGCACCAGGGGACATTCATGTGCCATTAATATTACGGCCTTTTATTATTATTTTTTTTTAATTTTGTCAAATATAATATCGAGAAAGTGAGAACGTGAAGGTTCTTGTGTGCAAGGTAACGGATTTTTGAGATACGTAAAAAAGTTAGGAACTCCTTGATTATTTGCTACGTGAGAACACTGCGCCGCAGAATTAGTATAGAGACAGTGTTGTGATCACAGAAGAGATACACATATAAATTTGACTGAAACTGAACTTTTGAGGTCCTAGATATACATTTTTAGTCGATCTTTTCTATTCTCCCTATAATTTGGATCAGAAATTTGATTGGGGCCTCTGCAGATTCAGCTGAATACGTGTCTCTAACACCTGTAAACATCACTCAGGATTTCGGATACTCTGCCTGAATTAATTATTAATCTTACAGTCTTATGTATTTTGGTGTAACTGTAAATTATGTTTAGTCAGTGTCCATAATCAGTAAGTATTTAACGGAATTGTTCTCGCGAGGATTTCCACTGCGTTCATAGCAGCCGACGTCTTATAGACATACTTCAGCAAAATGCTGCCTGAGACTGCATTAATTGACATGGGGGAAGCACAAAATTAGAGTCAGTGTACAGATGGCAGAAATACGCTTACTTCGACTATAGCGATAAACGTAAGATTTTCTTGTATCGTCAATTGTTATTGTGCAGTAAAGATTTATTTACCATTACATACAGACATAAGGAAGTTCCTCCTTGAACTGTATCTCTTTCGAAGTATCTTCATTCGATATCAGGAAGAGCTTAGGAACCAGAGTGGGGTTAGGTGATCTTTACGAAGTGTTGAAAATTTACAGGCCAATATGAAATATCAGCGCATAATTGACAGAACAAAGGTGATGATGCTGATGAAATAATAAGAACAATAGCAGCAGCAACAACAACAATTTAATTAAATTTTTTATTTATTTACGTACTGAGCTCAACAGCCAATGGTCAATTATAAAGAAAGCAGGAATACAAACAACAACAAAAACAGTGACAACACGGGACAAAACAAATAAACAAACAAAAAGGAAACAATCAAACAAAATTGATCAGTTTATGTTTTTCACACTCAAAATATCTACATACTTACACACTACACTTGAGGTTGAAACACGTCTAGCTGAAAGGTATTGGGTAGAAGAGCAAGTGAATACGGCGAAGTTACGAATGTTTCAATTAGGAACCTGAAGGCCAACTGTTTCGAGGAGAGAGGGACAACATGTAGTGACACTATATAATAATAATAATAATAATAATAATAGGCCGATCACGGTAGCATGTACTGTCTTCGCTAGCTCGGAAGCCGGGATCATGGGTTCGAATCCCAAATATGACATGGATGTTTGGTATGTGTATGTGTTTTTTCTGTGTTTATGTTGTCCTGTGTTTAGATAGAGGCCTTGCGACGAGCTGATCGCTCGTCCAAGGAGCCCTATCGTCTGTAATATTATCATGAAACTGAAAAAATCAGAGGCCAGGGCCCAAGGGGGGTTGTAAGAGCCAGTGAAAATAATAGTAATAGATTTAACAACAAAAGTAACCATAGCAGCAGCAACTCTGGTTGTATGAACTTGACGTAAAGAAAGAAAGTCATTTATGCAGTCAAGAACACGCAGCAAGATCCGTACTGTGTTCTGTAAAGTAAATTTCCTTTTATAATCTCGTGGTCATAAAATTATACAGTCCATGAATACTTGAGTGGTGTACAAGGCGTTACATGGTAATGTATGTAAATTATTAAGTTTTCGCAATGTCTCTGCTGCAGTATAAGGGGAAAACTAATGCTGTACATTCAAATGGAAAATAGGCGATCTATTTTCAGCAAATGTGCAACTGTGAGTGGGTATCCGTGACTGCAAACTTCTAATTATTTGTTCAACGTCTGAGCTTTTATCATAACGAGCTTTTTAAAATACGACATTGTTCTTGTCTGTTATGATCAGATAGCTTTCGACTGATTTATGAGAATTCTAACGATTTTTCTGTCATCCATATATCTCTTTTGTCTGGGACAAATTGTTCTGCAGGAATCGTCCATAAATCTTGTTTCCGTGCGAAAAGTTCCCAGTATCCGCTTGCGTGTGAAGAGAACGTTCACAGACACGCGGACTCTGAAAAGATTACTTACATAATCTCGTAAAGGCGCGCCTCCCCCCTTCTGGATCGGATTGGAGTAACGGGCGACTCATGATGCGCCTCTCATGTTACGTAGGGGTGACCCATTCTATCCCGTCCGTCGCCTAGGAGACCCCGGGACATCCCCACTTCTCCCCCTCAACGAACCCCAAAATCCCTGCCCCCGCTTTCCCAGATCGATAAAGTACACAGGTGTACTAGCAAGCCACCCCCTGGCCAATGTTTTATTTCTCTTAGGCCCGATCAAAACATAGGCCCCTTTGAGTGTCGCTGACCGCTAAACAAATAGGCCATTGTTCTTACTGGTGCTACTTGATGACATCTGAGCCCATAGAGGCCAAGCTGTATGAAATTGAATTGTGGGCAATTAAAGCAAGAGACGTGCAGGATGGCTCATGAAATGATCCAGTATTTGATCTATTAATAAAATATTTATTTTGGTTATAGTACTAGAAATTAACGTACAAAAAGAAAGACCATTGCATGGCGATTTGTCCTCTGTGAATCAAGTTTTCAATATGACCATCATTACATGTGGCAACTTCTTCAACATGAATTGGGATGTTGTTGATTACTGACGGCACATATCCTCAGTTATCTCGCTGCAGGCCTGAATGATTTTTTTTCCTTGGCACTACAGCCCCAGTGAGCCTAGGCCTACCTCCATGAACTCCGTTCACTTCGGCTTTTCTAGATCTTACACATTCGGTAGGACTCCTTGGGCGAGTGATCAGCTCGTCGCAAGGCCTCTACGGCCTGAATGATTACTGCTCTCAATTCCATCATTGTTTGCGTATTTTCGGAAAAAAAAAATATTTTCTTTAAGGAATACCCAAGGAAATTAGTCACATGGGTTTAAATCAGTACTATTCGGGGGCCAGTTCTGTCCACATGTAATCAGACGAGATTCTTAGGAATAGTTAAAGGTAGCACTATACTAAACCATATTAAAAATGGGCGTATGAGGAAAGAATTGAAAATACTATCAGTACAAAATAAAATAAGTGAAGACAGATAAAACTCGTTAAAAGATTTTAATAGAATGACTAATGACAGAATACCGAAACAGATTCCATACTAACCTGCAAACCTAAGGAAGTCCGAGACCGACGGAGACACTGAAGGTGAAGCTGGAATAGGCTTGGTTGCTTGCAGTATAGGCCTTATAATATCAAATGAACAAGAAGAAGAAGGGACGAAAACACGGAAGGACAGGAATATATTATTATTATTTTTTATTGCCAGTGGGGTGGGACTAAGTCCCTTGTACTGCGGCCACTTCTGGCCTATTGTACCAGCCCCAGATGATAGGTGAGGGTGATTGTGGAGCAATTGGTGGAATGAAGATTGGCAGGGGAAGCCGAAGTACTAGGAGAAAACCTGCCCCAGCGCAACTTTGTCCACCTCAAATCCCACTTGACCAGACCCGGGATCGAACCCGGGCCGCCTCGGTGGGAAGCCAGCGACTAACCGCTTGAGCTATGGCGTGGCCTTTATTATTATTTTACTGCAATTGGGTGTTCACCCGCTGGCAGTAGAACTTACACTAATACAGACAAGAAAAGTCTATAACATAAAGGGAACAATACAAAACAAAATACAATACAACAAAGAAGGTACACACAGTGCAAATCCAAACATATAAAGTTATAAAAGGGCACGTGTTTGTGTTCGTTTCACTTCACTCGAACAAGGACACTTCACATTACTTCACTTGACTCATTCAACTCCGCCTAAGGCCTCTGTACTTGTAACAGCTTTCCTAAACCTCTTTCTAAGAGTGTTTAATTTACAGGGGAAAGGCGCTAGTATGCCTGCAGGTAAACTGTTCAAATCTTGTATGATTCTATTTACAAAGGAATATTTGCCAACATCTGTTCTTTGTTTCCTACTAACTTCTGCCACAAAATAAACTCCAAATTTAATCAACCTAAAAAGAAAACTCGCCGGTCACGGTAGCCGAGCGGTCTAAGGCATGTACTGTCTTCGCTCGCTTGGAAACCGGGATCGTGAGTTCGAATCCCACGCAGGACATGGATGTTTAGTTTGTGTGTGTGCGTTTTTCTGTGTTTGTGTACAGGTAGAGGCCTTGCGACGAGCTGATCACCCTCCCAAGGAGTCCTACCGAATGTGTAAGATCTAGAAAAACCGAAGCGAACGGGGAAGTTTATGGAGGTAGGCCTAGGCCCACTGGGGCTG